GTATTCTGTTGCTTGGCTGTGTAAAACTGGAGGTTATCTTGCATGTGAATGAAAATGTTATTTAAACAATTTATTTTTATGTCCTTGGTGCATTCATTGATTCAAAATATGTAAGAAGTGCCCTTTTTTTTCACTTGAGCCCCTGCCCCCCAAAATGTCTGTGCATGTCCCTGCTCCCGAAGGCTGTGCCATCGCAGTATGAATGGGTGTGAATTGGGTAACATGAAGGAGTGTAAAAAGCTTTGAGTGTTTGGAAGACTAGAAAGCTATACAATAGTCTACAGTTCATTTACCAGTTGGCTAAATCATTTTTATTTTCCTCACTAAGCCGGACAGAAGCAGACAACAAGTTCCAGAAATGCTTGAGAGGGAAGAGATGTTTTCAACCGATTCCACCAGGATACAGCTCTTCACACCCCAAAGGTAAACTCCAAGAAATGAAATGCTGTAGGCCTACTGTCATTAGGTCAACTGGTAAATGGTAAAGACAAGTTCAGTTAGTTATAAGTTATCAGTTATGCAAATCTAAACATTTTCAATAATAAACCTTTTTTTTATTTTAACATGCTTTATTTACCAAAGTTTTTTATAGTCATGCCATATCTCTTTTGGTAGCTTTGCTTATTTATTTTTTTCTGTCAACTAAAATTAGTCAAATATATCTTACTTGTTGACAACAACACAAAAGGGTTATATGCTAATGGTATGACAGCATCATTTGTCTGTTCATTCCAAACCTGTAAAATAAACTGCTGTGAAAAAATAAACAGGTTTAATGATAATATGGTTAAGGTTTGTTTAAGCACAGAAACCACTTGGTTAGGTTTAGGAAAAGACGGAGTGGGTTACAATGAATTAGGCTGTACTTCCTTAAATTTAGGGGAAGTTAGGGCAGAAGGTTCTGTGTTCAAGTTTAACTTTTTGGTGACTCATCCATCCAGCCCGACCTCCTCCATACACAGACTTTGTCACTTTATTAAAACCTGACTTCTGACTCTAGTCAATACAATCACAGAGGATTTGTCACCTGAAAGTAAACGTTATGAAACGACTGATTCTGTTTTAGTTTTTTGAGAGGACAGTCTTACTCAGCTGTGTTGTGAACTCCTTTATATTGAGCAGTACTATAATGCTTTGGCCATCCCAATGTCCAAACAGTGGAGAGGATATTAAATATGAAATACTTTTCAATCCAACACTACCACAGAGTTCACTTGGTCTTTGACAGTCAGTTGGCAGTTTACAGTTGTAGCTGAATGTATTCAGTGTATGGGGATCATTGCAGCTGAAAGGTTAAATAACATAATGTTTAGCACAAGATTTTGTCGTGTGAATTAAACTAAGTTCACCCTTTTTCATTATCCAGGGAAGAGGACCAGCAGCAGGAGGATCATCTCTATGGGCTGGAGAACAACATTTTTCAAAACTATTATTTTGATGAAGATTTTCAGTTACCTAACTTCAATATAAATATTTTTCATTTGCATTCTTTCAGAAACCTAAATTTATACCTTATTGCAAAAAATCCGGTAAACGATTTTTTGTGGACTGTTAAAAATGCCAGTAATTTACCTTCAATGATATCAAGAACAGCCAATTTACAAGATTTACAGGCTGCAGTTGTTTTACCAAATTACAGCCCCTCTGATTTCAGTACTGTAGGTATAAGACAGACTTCCCTTACAGAGAAAATGATGCTGTTAAAAGACACTTTCATTAAGCTAACAACTTGTCGTGATAAAAAGCAACTTTTTAAGCGAATAATGACATTATTTTCAGATGCAAAAAATGAATTAGGTCTTAATGCAGTGCCTGCAGGTAGACACCTGGAGCTTTGGTTAAAATCTTACCAGACGAAACATAAAAGGGGCAAACAATATGCATTTGCTGTTTGTAAAATGAAAAATGGTAAATATAAGCATTTTCAGGGCGTTTGTCCATATTTTCGAAACAAGAAGAGGAAAAATTCTGCTTCTCCTTCCACTGAAGTTACATCACACAGTGAGGAAAGCTTAATTCGACAAATTGACAAATTTCTACTGAACAACGGAACAAATGTGCGGCATATTTTAATTTATACTCTCAACAGTCCTTGTTTGAAGAGAGAAAAACATATTGAGCCATGTATGTTTAAACTTTTAGAGATGGCTGATCAGTGGCTCAGTAAATATGGATTTTTTATTGATGTGGCGTTCACAAAGTTTTGGGGACTAACGGGTCCAAATTATTTTGCAGATCTCAAGTTCTCTGACATCTCAAGTCCCAGCAGCTGTTTTTATCCATATGTTCAAACATGCAAGAAAATCCCTTTCAAACTGGACAGTACATTTTTCAGAAAAGAAGTTTTAAAATGTGGTATCTACCAGACACTCTTAGATATTAAAGACACAAAACAAAGAAGCAAACCAAAAGATGATATTCAATCGTGTCTCCACAAACTTGTGAAACTGGCAGAAAATTCAGTTAATCTGAGAAAAGACCAACATGTGCCCGTGGAGTGAAATAATTTCTTCACTCACATTTCACCCACTGATCCACAATAAAATTATTGACATTTTTACAAAGAACTGGAATGAAATGGTTATCTATAGTTCAATGTCACCTATTAGAGAACAAATAACCACAGATTTTAACACTGCTGTAGTTCATCTGTTTCTAAAAGACCTTAAGTCAACTTTGGGGAACAGCAGCCCTTTACAGCTTTATCAGGTCCCCAGAACAGAGTGAGAATATTTTGGACTGATTAAATACTTCATTTCAATCACAATATTATATATATTATTACAAAATGTATATAATGTTTTGAATATATTTCTTAATATGTAAAAGTAAGACCTTCACTTTCTGTAATTACACAGAAGTTTGTGGTCTTAATAGTAAAAAAAATACTAAAATTAGTAATTTATTACTAATATTAGTTTACTTTTATTAAGTCATTTTGAATTAATAAATTTTTAAAGGTTGGAAACCTTAACTTTGGGTGTCATTTGTAATTAGAGCTCTAATTACTGTTGTAACTCAAGTACAGATTTTGTCTGGATCTTTGTTGACTGTTTTGTCCTGAGCTCATGACAATAAAAACCTTAAATTGATTTCAGTGTGCTTTGTTCTGTTATGGGAATTAGTGTGTTAAAATGCTCATGTGCTTGTTTTAGCTGCCAAAACAGACTTCTCTCTCTGTCCCTGTGAGGTTTGTGCAGAAGTATCCAAACTGCATATCAACTGCATGAAAACTGTGAGAAGTGTATTGCTATTCATCTCACCCTAACTGGACGCAACCGGTTTTGTCTTTGCCAGGACAGTTCACTCATCAAAAAAAAAAAAAAGTTTCTGCCTGTGGTTTAACCATCAATGCTTTCTGGTGTTTTAAAGACATGTGTGGACATAAACAGGACATAGTGTGGTTTAAGCAAAAGACTCAAACCAACAGATAATTAATAACCAGGGATAGGCTAAGCTTCTTAAAGTGTCGTTTTAGTCTTAAGTGCTGAGAATTCATGAAATTTACTCCTACTTTTAAACTTAAGAATAAAAGTTATCAAATTTCTCAAAGCTAAGAATCACTCTTACTCTCCCAGTTATTTCAGACAGCTCGAGAGGTCTCTCAAGTGGTTAGGAGTTGCCAGTAGGGCCTGTGATGGTGCTGTGGAGACAGAGACATGCGTAGAGGAGAGGAAGAATTCTGACAACGCGCAGTTAACAAGACCATAGACAGTATATTACTGGAGGAAGCCACCCCGCTGATTTGAATGGAGAGCAGTGAAGCCAGTTTTGGACCAATAAAATACTACTACAGGGCCACTTCCTGTTGGCACCAGCGTCTACTGCGCATGGTCGCGCAGCATAACCGTGCTTTAATGACGTAGAACAACTGCAGAAACATTCTGGTAGCTGTATAAATGCGCCAACAAAAGTTTCATGGCTCAGTGTGTTTGTCTGACTCGGATCGTCGCTGTTTAATCAGCCCATTGCTCTGATAGTTTTTTTTTGATTGCCGAGAGTTTATAATCTAAGCAATACGGTTACATCTCTCAGGTGCGACAGGGTTTCACAGGGTTTTTACGTCATTTTTGGTCGGCTTCACTGTCCGATTTCTGGCTTACCCCCTTAAAACAGGACGGGGTCGCACCGCGCAGGCATAAACTTTGTCAGCGAGTTGGTGAGGGACGTCATCTCAACACTGACTTTACGCAGTAATGCGTTTTCAATTAAATTGAAGCTGGTGATGACGCTTCGTTTATTTGCCACAGGACAAACGCAGCAATGCTGATGATTTTGGCCCCTCACAGCCACCAATAAGCCGAATAGTCATGGAAACAATTATTGCACTTACAGCTCCACACACTGTCACGCGTTTCATCGACTTCCTAACAACACCCCCCCTAATCTGACAGAAGCAAACACAGTTCATATAGCCGGCAATACAGGAGCGCATTTGATGGCGCTCATATAAAGAAAATCTTCTTTGTTTTACCTTTCATTTATTTATGTGTAGGCCTACATCATAATGTATTATCTTGAAAATTCTTTATTGTTAAATGTGTTTTGAACGTAAACTCCTCTTAGGAATTTCACCATTCAATGTGAATTTATCTGAGAATATTCTTAAAGAAGGAAATTGGCGACATCGTCATCCAAAATCCTGTTTGCGGTGTCGTAATTCAGCACTAGACTGTCAAGACTGACACTTAAGAGTTTGTCCTACACTTCACTCAAATTAGGACTATGATGCTTGATAACTAACTTTTAAGCCCAGCTTTGAGCCAAGAATTATTTTACTCTTAAGTCAGTTCTTAGCAGTGTTCTTATAATTCTGAGAAGCTTGATAAATACGGGCCCAGATCTACCCTTATCTGCAGCTACACCCCGACAGCATGTGGAACAACTTCAACTTCACCCACTCCAATTGTTAAAAATAAAAAGAACTGCATTACTGAATAACCAAGTTAGCTGGATGTTAGTCCTTCTCCTAGTGGGCCATAAACGTGAACAACAGGAAGTAACACACTGATTTAATTTGCTTTATTAGTAGTTTCATTACTGATATATGAGCTTGTTGGGTTGCCATTGTCCCAGCACACATACTGTAATCCTTTCTGACATGGAGCTTTGAGAATTGGCACAAATAATCCACAAATGAACATCCCTGTATACAATAATGCTTTTAAACAGAAAATAATAAACAATAAATATTTAAAAAATGGCATGAACACAAGATAAAATGCAGGGTTGTATCTTCATAAGACAAAATGTCTTAATTATGTGCCGTCTTCTTGTCTTTCAGTACAAACATTAAATTAAGAAGGAGGCAGGGGACAGGCTGGTTTTCAACCTTTGGCCCTAAAACACTTTATAACCAGTCTGAGTAGAGCACATAGCAGGATGTTCATGCACAAACATCAGTTTAGACTCAGTCTGGAAATTCTCTACTTTGTGATGGAGAGGAGCTAAAATGTCTTAAAAAGAAAAGGACTGGGGGGACTAAAAAATATAAAAATCACTTCCAACACCAGAAGTCCATACTGGTGAAGTCTGAGAGTCTTCCAGTTTCAGAGCATGTGATTTATCAAGGCTAAGAATTAAAATAAGCACACAGATGATTACAAAATAAATGGATTTCAGCCCAGAGAATGAACAAGGCAAGCAAGCTCACACATACTGTATATACAGTCACGGTTACTATTTACATTGTGTTTACATATCATTTAGTAATTCTACATACAGTTGAGGTGGACTTTGTCTCCCTCTACTGGATCACACTATTGTCACACTGCAAATAGCAGAAATCAGTGCTGAAGTATTCTCATGCTTTGAAATGTCTCATTACAGAGCACTCTGAGGAAACCAGGCCTACTGCAGAGGCTGTCAACCAGAAGAGCCCATCCCAGAACCAAAGTGTGTTCAGAAACACCCACAGCCTGGTCTGACACTCCCTCCACATCTGAAACAACAGCACAGAGATGAGGAAATGATTCCTCACAGTCTCCTGGTGTTGGTTTCATTTTTTCCATACTGCTTTGCTCTATCCTGGCTTCTAAGATGTGGAAATATCATAAAGAAGCAAAGTGTCACCACACAGCCGGGTAAAAGGAGTGAGAAAGCAAACAATACACAGTGCTGTAGTGAAAGCAGATGTGTTACCTCACAAACACCGGCAACTCCTCTATGACTATTGTATTTACTGGGAAAGAGCAACACCAGCACTCAATTACTGCCTAACCTTAAGAGACCCGGCTATGCACAACTGATCATACTTATTACTAATATCAAATGACCAGAAGAACTGGATCAAACAGAAGCGTAATAAATAAATGATCATGGATAAATACAACCTGAGAGCGCGATGTCTAGATGAAGGATAACTAAGCAAACACTAAACAAACCACTCCATCACCAGTACTGTGCATGACTTGAAAGTCACATAAAAGCAGTGAGGAAAACACTGTAATGTGAGACCTGAACTTTGCAGAGCCAGACTCACACGGAGCGATGTAGACCTAATGAGGAGAAACTTAACTTAAACTCTTCCACAAGCTGTGAAGCCTCAAATTAATTTAAAATTAGGGTAAAATAGAGAAGCAAAAAAAAAAATCTGATCACCAACAATCCTGTGAAACCAGACACATGGATATGGTGGCAGCTGAAAGACATGTATTATGGTGCTGAGTTGTAGTCAAAAGTGTTAGGTATCTATTAGGTATTAGGTGTGAAAAAGTAATAAGGATGTCAATACAGGCTTTAAAGTTGATCTCCACAATCTTCTCACTCCTCAGTAAAAATGTCAGGCACATTATATTGTCTGTGCTCCAGACACTACAATGTCTGAGAATTTCCACCATCATGACATGGTCCAGATGAGGCTCCAGACTTGTGGCCTACATGCACAGAGAGGGTGAGCCTTTTTTCTTTCAACCGTAACCAGGTAGGAGCAGCCAAGAGGAAACTTAGAGGACCCACACCTAGATAACTAAGAGCAAAGAATCAGTGAGACTGGAAAACTGCACATGGCCAGCTTACATGCTCATCCACTATGGGGACGTACATATGTGTCTAAGGATAAAAGAGAAAAAACAATAAATAACAGAATTTATTAATATATAACTAACCTTTACCAGATTAAAAAAAAATGTCTAAGAAACATCCCCGACTGTTAATCTGACATGAACTCGTAAGTAAGTATGAGACAAAATATGAAACAGCCCAGTAAATGTAAAAGAACCTTCTCCAAACTAAGTGTGGCCACAAACGGCTAAAAACCAAACCTGCACTTTGCTCCAAAAACCAGCAAGAGTGACACAATGTCAGTGCTTGATATATACAGTGTGTATGTGTTTGTGTGGAGGAGGGCCTGCAGGCTGCGGGTGGAGCGAGTGTGGACAGCAGGCCTCATGGTGGCGTCTCTGCATTATTAGTCGTGGCCTTTTTCTTTGTCGGCTTCTTCATCGTCTTGGTTTGAGTCTTGCAGAGGGAGGAGAGGGACAGGAAGGGGGAGTAAGTACAGAGTCATTAAACAACAAGAGGAAAAAAAGGAGAGAAAACAGTCAATTGTTAAAATTGTAGAGGAGGTCGGGAAAAGGTTTGACTAAAGTTAGGGATGGATGGATGGATGGATGGATAGAGAGGTCAGACTGAAATGCATGCTTCAATTTGTCTGTGGTTCAGGCTTCAATAGAAGTGAATGGGAAAGGAGCGACTATTCATAGGACGGAAGTGTAATGTGACCTTTCCGTTTGAGACTTCAAGTATTTGTCTGAAAAAACCCATTATAAACTGAGGCCATGAAGTTTGAAAGATAACACTGAACATGCAGAGAAGGCCTATTGTAAGACGCCATTGAATTGCATTATGGGGGATCCAGCATTGACTCATACGAGGGAAGTCAGGATATTGCAGCATCGGACTGTTCTTTCGTTCAAATATGTTCCCTGCAAGTCCCCCAACTTTGTGGAAGTGAACTAAGTTATTTGATGTTTAGCCAGAGTAACTGAAATCATCATTAACACATCACATTCTTAGCTCCACTGAAATTATATTGTTTACATGCGCAATATGACTAACATGGTATGAAACTACTGCAATATTTTGTAAGTCCAACATAGCCTAACTAAAATGATGTAGCAATAAGAGATCAATATCCAAAAAGAGGGCGCAGTTTTCATAAACAAATAACTATTACTGAGTTACAAAAGATGATTTAAAACCAAAAGTAAAATAAGTATTGATAAATGTTGACATTTGGTCCAAAAGTACTGTGATTTTGAGAAACTGTATCAACAACATGGAGCTGCCACTAAGGTTTAAAGCAATGTTTAGCTCAGCTGTCATTTAATGTTACATAATTAATTTCTTTCATAAATCTACACCTGTAGTATCTTCAATACTATATTTTGTAGTTGACAGCACTGATAAGAAGCTTTAACATTTAATTAGTTCGTAACACCTTACTGTTATTTTATTATGCTTACTTAAGCGCAATACACAGCACTGGGTTTGTCTTACACTTAGTGTGCGTGTGTATGTATTACTGGTACTACCTCCGTCTTAGCAGCAGCAGGTTTCTTGGTTGTCTTGACGCTGGTAGAGCGTTTGGGGGCTTTTTCTCCCACATCTTCATCGGAGTGTTCAGTCCTCGTGTCTGATTGGTCAGAGCCGTGCTGGGACGACGCGTCGTCAGCAAGGGATGCGGCCGCCAAAGAGCGAGCTGCAGGATTGGACAATAAATGCTGGTCATTTCACAGACAGAGTAGCTCAGAGTTCAGACTAAAAGATAAAAAAGGAAATCACCAGATGACTCTCCAGACAGCTGACAGACCAGAGAGACTGAGCCAATAGAGATCAAACTCTGTCACCAGCTTTTAGCAAGTCAGAATTCTGTATCTCATTTCCTTGGAACGAATGTGACCAGACTGAAGCAACTGTCTAAAAGTGTGTATTTGCTGATGAATACATCAGTCACAGTCACAGCCTATTACACCACCCGGTGGCCACATTTCAAACTACAGGCTGTATTTCCACTTGTGACAAATGTTGGCCTGTTGGATGTCAACTATATAATAAAAAAGGTCACTCTAAATAGGAGTCTCTTCTGCCCACCCAGAAAAACTGAATGTAAACAAAAACTTTGTTTACAACAAATCCACAGGACCCCTCTAAAGAGTAGTGCGCAGTAAGGCTGAAAAAGTTTTCCCCAAAGTATGTTTTGGTCTACATATTGCCAGAAAACAGCAGTAAAATGCTGATCACAATAGTTCAGTCTAAAATTGCTTGCTTGGTCCGATCCAAAGTCACAGAATATTCAGTTTACAGGGATTTAAAAACAATAAGTGAATTTTGAAGAAATACATTTAGATTTGTTTAGATCTATGTCCCTTATCTTGTTGTTCAGTACGGTTAGTATTTTAATGCACAAATTTTTTTCAGTTACTGTTGTAAATGTATGGGGACACTTGCTGACTCGGGTCAGCAGGAAAGTTTAACATGTTTGAGCAAAGGAGTGTAGCATTATTCAAGCTTCTTCCATTTATAAATTTGTTCTATTTACAAATAATTCCACAATCTTTTCTTTTTTGCTTTTTAACAGTGCAGAAAGAGGAAATAGAGCTGAAAGCTCTGGATCATTAGTAAGAGGACCTTTGAGCCTGGATTCCCTTCACTATATGCTGCATTTTCCCCCAAACATTATTGAAGAAACATCCATGCACAAATTACCCTGAAGACAGTAACTCCATCTGTCTGATTCTTTCATGTCAGCGTTTTGTTTGATCTGTCTTTCAGGCTGGGTTTGCACATTGAGGTTCCTGTGTTAAATGTGCCACTTTGCCCTGTCCATTCATTGTTTCATGGTCTCTGTGTCTCTCTCTGTATTCAGTTCACAGCTAGCCAGGCCCGCAGCCAGCCAGCCGGCAGTGTAGTGAGACACAAAGAGCCCTCCTTCTCAGCCTCTCCTCCCACTGGAATCACATGTTTTCACTCCCCCTACTCGACACTTCTTTGCATCTCATCCTTTTCCCTGCCATCCTGCAGTGCTTTAAATCACATGACTCTAGCTAGCCCCCTGTCCTGCTCTGATAGTAAAGTACGGCCTCTGAGTGACACTCCAGCCCAAACAACAAACTGGACATACAGAATGTATGTTTTTATGCAGATGTGTGCGACTCCTAATGAAGCAGCGTGGGGGTTGTGCGTGTGGCCTTACTCTGTCGTGCAGTGGAGCTCTTGGCCCGGGGCAGCGTGCTGGCCCCCGAACTTATCTCGTCCATCGGGTCCCGTCTCATGCGGGCGTCTGGAGTGTGCAGAGATAGGTCATCGTCAGCGTTGATGAGAGTCAAGTCCTGCATGCTGAAACTCCGCAGCTTGTCTGACAGCACGCCTTGTCCCTGGGCATCACAGCAAAACCCAACACAGACACGTCAAGATATGGGATAGCACGAGTCCTGAATATCTATCCCCTACTTCTGCATCACTCATATCTTACAGAGAATAGGTCATCCAAATAAAATTTAACTTGCAAATTCTCATGTTTGGTGAAACACTGACTGATTAAGTTAATCTGTGTAGTGTAAGGCTGACAAGACAGAATTCTTTGACAATTATATTCAGCAGCCAGGGTTCAGAACATTTAAGCATTTCCACCACTTGAATGGGCATGAAACTCCCCTGATTTTATCATCTAGAGCTGCAATGGTTACTACCTTCATTGATTTTCTGATCAACAGAACAATTATGTGAGGATCTGATGGCATTCTCTGTTTCATATCACTGTTAATTGAAAATATTTCGGGTTTTGGACTGTTAGATGGATGAAAAAGGTATTTGAAGAATTGTGATGGCCATTTTAAGCCATTTTGATGCTATGAATTGAAACAATTTGACAGATTAATCAATAACGGAAATAATAGTTAGATGCAGCCATATATCATCAATAAATAGAGAACAACTACATTGGAAAGATGATGTTGATGCAAAATACCGACTTAATTTGTGTGCATAAACATTAAATCTCTGCTTGAATGTCAGTTAACGATATGGTTAATAGGATCTGTTTACAGTATGTGACAAAAACCTCCACACTGGAACATAAACAGAACAGAGTGCTTTTGTATACAATGCCTTTAGTAAAGACTTCCACCTAACATTACTTTAAATATCGGACTTTATCTGCAATCAATCACCATTAGGGCACATTGATTTGGCAGCACCAACAATTTACTCTTTACACGAGCCCGTCACAACATCAGATCAAGAACAAGTCGCCTCTAGGCTGCTGCCCTTGTTTCACACTCACAAGCATGCTCCCAACCTTTTGGTGTCAGACAGTAAACTAAGCTATTTGGTGCTCTTGACCAGCCTGCTTGGCTGTTCTTTTTTTAAACATACAAGGGGCATTAGAAACCAAGCCTAACAGCCTTTGGGGAATCCAACTTACTGTATGTCAGTAGACAGATGTAAATACAGCTGTGAATTCATCCCAAACATATTAGGATGCATTGGGATCACTTAATCAGCACTTGGCAAGGCATCTTTGCACAAACCATAGGACCTCCTTGTTAATGTTAGAGTGTGTCTAGCATAGCAAAGCTCCCAGTGGTAATTTTGCTGTGACGAACAACTCAGAAAAAGCTTACAAGTTTGTTCCCTGCAACAAGTCACCAGTCACCAGTCACCAGTCACCAGTCACCAGTCACCAGTCACCAGTCACCACACACACACACACACACACACACACACACACACACACACACACACACACACACACACACACACACACACACACACACACACACACACACACACACACACACACACACACACACACACACACACACACACACACAACGTGATCTCAGTGGTCACTGGAGAAGAAGCATTTGAAACACATTTTAAAAATCTGTGCTGAACGGCATCTCAGACTGGATTCAGACACAATCTAAAGGCACAGTGTACAATGAATATATTACAGATGAAGAACATGAAGGGAAATCTGCATTATTAAGTTATAATGCCATCTGACTTGATCTGAGCACACAGCTCACCTTGGTGGCTGCAGTGACAGCAGCATTAGCAGCCAGGTTGAGACCCCTCTTTCCAAACCTCATCATGGTCTCATAGCTCCTGTCTTTGGCCTGTGCGATGTACTCATCTATCTCCTGTAGGACAGGACGATAGTTGAAGGGGAAGAGTGAAAGATGACATCGTAAGCAATTGGGACAAAGAAGAAAAGGACAAATTAGCATATTTCAATGTGGACATGCAGACCAATTTCTGCACGTTTAGCAGCAGTGAAATGCGTCAATTTTTCCATTTGGGAGATGGACATAATGACTTGAAAAGGTTGTGTTCCTACCTTCTCTTTGTTGGACAGGGTTGGGTGGACAAACTTGCGATAGAGGACACTGGAGCCCTTGGTGTATGGGGACAGGAGCCAGATCACAAAGGCAATCTTGAGCTCAAAGTAAAATGGAAACCTGAGAAATGAAACAGAGTTAGAACATCAGCAGAGAGGAACTGAAAACATAACGTCTTTGAGGAAGATACAAACACCTGAGTTATAAAGAAAAAGAGACAATGAGAGAAGCTAAGACACTGATCTGATATCTGAAAGGCTGAATAATGGTGTGAGTTGCATTTCATGAGGCACTTTAATAAGATTTCAGTATACACTTAGCACTAGATACACACGAATGTGTCTATTGGTATTATATAAGCTGTTTGTTTTATTTATAGGGTCGTGATCATGAGCAGCTCCTGACTCACCATGATAAGAGCAGGTCTGTGGCCGTCTCTGCTGTAGTGAACAACGCAAATACTATCCAGTACATCATCCACTTCACCTGGAGACACACACACACACACACACAGGCAAGTCATAACACAAATAGCACATGAAAACCCACAGCATCCAGTGCACACGTGCTGAGACACGTGGAAATAAACAGACATGCCAATGCAGAAACGCAACATATGTTCAGTCCTATCGGATCACATCAGTATGCATGGTTAATGTCCCGGAGAAAAAAGGAAATGCAGGGCATTATGAAATCCCATAAACTGGACACGTAAAGGGAAACTAGTTTAGGAAACAATACCAAATGCCATAGATTAAGTGGAAATACATTATCAATAAGTAAACATATTGGCATACCAAATGTTACTAAATTAGAGAAAAGCCCTGCATGTTTAAAGGAACAAACAGGTAGCAGTCATGCAGCTGTATAAACACACATAGTGCTGAGTCATTAAAACAAGCTAAACAAGAGGAAAGGAGGATGAAAACATCAGTCCTAAAAATGGCGTCCTTCACTCCCTCTCTTTCTCTCCCTCATTCGCTCCTTCTGTGGTTGTCTGCTTGAGCAGCAATTGAGAGGAGGAGGGGGGTAGCCATAGTAACCTGCCAGGAGGAAACTGTTCTCCAGTGCAAAACTGGGCAGAGGGCCAGAGCTGCTATCTCCTCCTCCACTGCCTCCTGGACGCCCCCCCTTTCTATCATGCCTTGCAGTGATGAGGTAAGCAGGGAGGACCCCCGACTCTCAGCCAAAAGCGGAACAAGAATCTGTTGCTGCTGCGAAGCTAATGTGCAGAGAGGACAGGACAGTCCCGGAGCCAGCACACCAGCTCCAGATCCTCGCAAGTCTCCTTCTCCTATAGCTAACATAACAAAAACAGCATGGTCTTGGCAAACTAGTACGGAAGTCGGAGTTATTTAACGTTACCGGACACACAAATCATGGCTGGAGTAGTGTTGTGTGTCTCGGTCCGAGCCTCTTTGTTTTTTTCTCATTTACAGAGCCAGGGCTGAGTACAAACACCTGACTTTGTGCACACAGGGAACGGAGAACTAGCAGATCGTGAGGAGATATTTTAAGAATTTAACAAATCAGATACCCCACCTTTAAAATGTTATAGGTGTTAGTCTCGGACAAAAGGGAACATATCGGTGGTTCCCAACCTTATTGACTTGTTTCCTCTTAAAACAAAGCTGTTGTTCCTATATGGTCAATCTTTTTGTGACCCATCACATTCATTTTGTAACCCCTAGATTGGGAACCACTGCACTACAAGATGAGTTTTTATTTAATCTGAAGCATGGTAGGCTGCAATACTTGATCATAAGGAGGTGCTTGCACGTTCATGTATTCTCGGCAGGTGTTGGATAAAACTTTTCTGCTCAAACAGATGAGGATATCCACAAACTACTGACTTTTATTCTACATGGAGATGACTATGTTTCTACCACCTTTTGTATTCAAAAAGCTGTTGTGTCCATGTAGAATAAAATATTTAGTAATGAAATGGAGATAAAGGTTTTATTTTGTCTCCTAGACAAATTATGGTGCCTCAGTGACCCAGTTTCATAAAAGGTTGGTGTGCCCCAGTTAGCTGCCATGCCATGCTTCTGACCTTGTCCGGGAGATCTATGGCTGAACAATTCACCGAAATAACAATGCGGCCTGCTGCAATTTTCAAATCACAGGAGGTGCAGTATTTGTTAAAAAGCAAAATGTGGGTCAAACACTATTTTAAATTAAATATTGTCGAGCTGGAGAAATGTCCTGGCCTACACGTCATAGTCTACAGACTTAAGAAAGCATCTTTGTTTGGCACAGATCTTTGCAAAAATCTCACCATAGACATTTAAACATTGTTTTTCAATGAAAATGAGAATAAGTGTGTAAAAAATTATAAATTCCTTCCAAAATCGCAAATCATATCTCAATTACAATATCAGTCTAAATAATTGCCATTAGATATTTTTTTCAAAAATCATTCAGCCCTACCCTGATCATTATCAAACACGCTTGATATTTTGGTAATGAGTGACAGTGCTCAAAGAAACAGAAAAGTCAGTGCTGCCAACATCAAAACAGAAATTACTCCAGGTAATTAATACGTGTCCTCCATTTAAACAATGTCCAGTGTGTGACTGGCCTAAATTTTATCTGTGGGCTTTGTTACACTCCTTCTCAATATGTGCATTTGAAACTTAAAATACAGGGGTAAAAATATCTAAAGAAAGTCAAACAGGGCAGACAGGAGTCAAAACAGTCGGCTGTGCTTTATAAACTAGAGGTGATACTCACATATTCCTTCACATTCTTCGTTTTGACAGCCTTGTACGAGGAGTATGCTGGATAGAGAGTCCCAAAGGCAAGACTGCAAAAAACAGAGGAGCAGAGAAGCCTGGGTCAGAGGAGGATTCAACGTGAGGACATGGCCTCCGGGTGTTGACACCTAACCAATGTGTTCCTGCTTAAAAAGCAGGTTAGCTATGTTTGCACTAAGCTTACGTAAACACCAGTTGCTTTCTGTATTATTGAGCAGTTTATATTTAAAGAAAGTCGGTGTCTATGTGGTTTTGGTCTGAACGGTGATGCCACAGTAGACAGCTGATGGGCACTGGCTTGAAAACACACACTGGCCTGATAATCAGTAGAAAAAAAAACATAATGGAGATCACAGAGTCAGGAAGAATGCAGCGAGATAAAGTGGAAAAACACACAAAGGTCTGCCAGGGGTGGGTCACCATGTGTTGGACCACGTGCAGATTGGGACACTATGCACACAGAGCCGTGTTTTTGATGCGCATTTGGTCGCATCCTGTGCCACTGTGGTGATTTGTGCTGATGTGACAGGATGCCTAATGCTGAGTGAGGGGACAGCAGGGAGAACACACTTCAGAAAGGCACTCGTTTGTCTGTATGCCCACAGTGTAAACCACTGGGTGTGACTTTATCTAAACTAAGGATTGAATGTTTTTCTACACTGATGCTTGTGCTCCCAGCTGTTAGTAGCTGGAGCATATCTACTGTTTTTCTCAGCATTTAAGTAGGTCTTCTGTCCCAGTAAGTGGCTGAGCTGCCCAGTCATGTGTGCAGCGCCTCTCAGCTTTGCACAGTAAGCTGTGGCGACTCGTGGCAGGCCTCTAAGGCAGTAGACACTCTCAGCAGACGCCCTGTGCCTCTTTGTGTCCCCATCTCAAGTTCACTTCTCGGAGCTTGAGGGCATCCCGTCCTCTCGCTGAGACTTCAGTGATTTCAGACACGCTGCTTATTCACCTGTTTTTTTTACGGTTGGGTTAAAACAAATAGAGGCAGCTGCATGTTTAAAGTGCAGATTAAAGATGAGAAATGAATGATCCTGTGTAAGACGTGCTGCAGCCATTATATGATGCATATCCAGTCACATTGTTTGTCTCCCATCGACACCTGAGGGGTAAGTGAAGTGGAAGAGCCAGCTGGAAGCCACTAAAAGTAACTGTTTGCCAGTGTTATCCTCTACTTACATAACCAGAATATTTATAGGGATGAGACGTCAATAACATCTCCACACCTGGGCCTTTCATAGACACTGTTATAGTTATGTTCGAGGATTATACTGCCAAGCTTTAGTCCAACCTGTTTAAACCCACAAGAAAAATGATGGCATTGTTGAAAGATAGGTAGGTCCTGCGGTCAGAGAACAAAATATCCTGCTTAAAAGCACCCAATTGACATAAGTGTCTATAAAGGATCAGGATGATGACAGCTGCTGGCTTTAGTTGAGTCATCCACACTGTCGTGATATGGTGTGTACAGGTGGAAGCCCAGGTCTGAACTGTCCATAGCAAGGAATATTATTAAAATCATACAAATCATCCACTATGATCTGGCCAGTTCCTGAACATGGGCCTAGATATGGATGGATAGACCGACATCCCTGAGCTTAGCCTTGCCATGACAGTTTTACCAAGTCATGTTCACAATAAAAGGTGCTGAGATGCTCAGTGTACAGACCAGCGATACTCAGACTGTGGTGTTTTGTTTTTAAAAAAAAGCCACTGCAGGCAGTTTGGAGTCTTGTTTACTTGTCTGCAGCGAGGCTGGAATATTAAGCAGGTTTCACTTGAATAACGTGGCCGGCTAACAAATCCTTCCCCTGCCAACACATTATCTGTCAGGTCGTTAATGGCTAGCCAGCATACGTTAGCTACCAGGGGCTAGCAGGCGCTTGGTGCAGCTTGTATTGCATCATTGTATTCATTAAAGACCCATAGCAACGGTTGTAACGGCTGCTATACACAGCTGCTTACCTCAATGCCCAAATAAAATTTTTACCCACAGTAATTTATCTAACATACATGAATGAAATGTAACTATGCGGACAGAAAACGGATGACAGAGCACACAAGCCTAGCTAGTTGGCGCGTCGCAGCCTTCAGCATCAGACAGCTGATGAATGGAGGAGTCGCAGATCTGGCTTTAAACACAACAACAGCCCAGCCCATACTCACACTACTATCCTCGAAATGATCCAGGATACCATCTTGCTGGACGACACCGGCCGTGAGCCTTCTCCGCTTCAAGGAAATCTAGTTAGCCAAGCGGGCTAGGTGGCCCCCCATGCCCTTCTCTCCAGGACGCGGTTTGTTGTGATATGACCCGGGAGGCTGGCCCGGTGTCCTGCCTGTCCGCTCTCCTGTGTGTGTGTGTGTGTGTGTGTGTGTGTCTGCGGGCTAGCAGCAGCCGAGGATGCGCTGCGGTCTCTGGATCCAAGCTGCTCGGCGCTCTGTCTCTTCTGGAGAGAGACTGGCTCTTAAAGGGCCAGAGCCCCGCAGTAAAATGTGTCATTTTAACTTGGGAGAAAACTGCGCCTTTCACAGTGCTCCTCCTATCTGCTGCACCGACACATGATCCTATCACCTCAGTTTACTAGTGGCATTAATGAGAGAGAAGCCAGAGAGCACATGTTTAAGTATTTGTTGGTTTAAACTAACTAGATTTATGCTTGCATCCTCTTCAGCACATTTAAGCTCCCCTGCCCCATTTCTGTGATCTACTTACTAATTCAGACATGAGCAGTGAATGCTAGGCCACACAGGACAGAATCTAAAAGCATGTAGGATCAGTAAAACACACCGATAAATAGTAATCTGCACTGTTAACACTTGTAACAATACAGCTAATGGAAAGCCATGCAGGACTTAATTGTCCAGAGCCTGTTTTATGGTGATTGAAAACCAGAAGTACTGACAGACTATTTGCAATTTCAGGGTGTCTGGATAGAAACCAGAGGATTTGCAACGTTTGTAATGACAACAAGTATCATATTTTGTTTGACTGTCAGAATGAATGCATAATGAATTTCAGAGAAAGGTATCTTCAAAAGTATTATTTAAGGTGCCCATCTATGTATAAGTTGATTTTGTTGCTGCAGTTACAGTTATTGGCATACATCAGATTATTTATATCTTGTTTGTGCTCCATCCCATATGATTATGGTCCTGAGATTGAGACCTTTATTTTGTAAATTAGTGGCAAATAAAACCAAATTCAGCCCTGAAAAGGAGAGAAATTAAAACTTGAATTCTAAGTTTCTTTCTTAATTTTTAAGGCAACAATTTAATACTATAACAAGTGAATTTAAGATGAAAACACACTAACCATTTTCAACAACACACAAGACAAACCAGTTAGATAAAACAATCAGGCTACTACCTAAACAATTCAAGTCAATCAACAGAAAACTGTCAACTATTTTAATAAACAAGTGATTGTTCAAATCATTTATCAGGAAATAACTCAAAATATTTGCTGCTTTTTTCTGTTTTATTATAATTGTGAACTGTAAATCTTTTGACTAAATAAAATTAAGATTAATTGCTAATGAAAACAATTCAACACTTTCAATACTTTTACAATAATTTTAATACTTTTCAATGACTTAGACCCTGGTTGTACACACACAGGTTTTGTTCGTAAAAATTACCATTAAAACAAACAATAATTTTTGTATACTTTATTGTGAAAAATCAAACAGACTGCTAAGATCAATATATATTGATACAATGTTAATGGCCAGTAGTTCTGTTCAGCTGCAATTGTGATTCTTGAACAATATTGTTGGAAGTCTGCAGTTCATTCAGCCGATGGGACAAAGATAGGTGACCAAAGAATAATGTAAAAAATAAAAACCTGCCCTCTCTGAAGTCCTCCTGATCATTACCTTGTGGCGTATAAAAAGAAAAGACTTCTTACTCTAAAAGTGAAATAAGAAAACAAAAAATACAAAACTTTGGTCTGCTTCCCCTCACTGGCTGCTTCGCAAATTCATCTCAGCCACAGAGGGCAGAAGCAATCAGCTGTTTAAAAACTCCAACAACAACAACAAAAAAATCTACAAAAACATGTTAACCTCGCTCCTATTGAAGAAAAATAATATCACTGTCATCAAAATAGGAAAGTTAGCCCAGTACTCACATTTTGTCAGTCACTTATATGGTAGCTGAACCTCTGCTCCAAAGGCACGTCAGCTTTTACCTCCTTTATTCTCACATCTTACATATACAATGAAAACAACAGAACAAACACACTGACCTTAAATACAGAGTTAATCAAAAAAAACAAAAAACAATTGGAAAACAACTAGACAAGTTTGAGCGTACTGTGTAACAGCGATAAAGGACTTCCTTCATCAAGCGCTGCCTAGCCCCTCCCGTCTAATCCCTCCCCAAATCAAATGTCCTCTTTCCCCAAACCCAGACCTTCACTGTCCCAAAAAACCTACAGTCTATCTTTGCACTCTGCAGCTTGTACTTGTGTATGTAGGTGTGTAATGCATACTGTGTGTGTATTTAGTGGGGTGGTCATCACAGGCTGGTTGTTTTGGGACAGCATTAAGTGAGAGGAACTAAGGGCGTGCCAATTTAGGTTCGTGAGCCTTCAGTGTCCCAACAGCGTCCTTCACAGCGTGATAGATGATGTTCTTCACCTGAGAAAAAAAAAACGACAGGAGAAGTCTGTTAAGCAACAACAGACATGGAAACAATCTCCTGTCCCAGAACAATAATAACACTCACACCGACTGACAACAGCTGGGTATTGTTAGAAAATGTTTTCAATACTTTACTTTCAGGAATAATAACATTATTTTTTACTACTTTTTTCCATTTAACAAAATAAGCAAATCTTCTCAAAGGTTACATGTTGTCTAAACAGAAGCAACCGTACGAAAGCTTCATCCAAGAAATAGAGACGGAAATTAGCAAAATCATAATTTCGATCATCAACAGCTTAATCAAACAATGAAAAAAGAAGAATGCAAATCTGAGCAGCAACCAAACCTTTTGTCACTTAAGGCTATTTTAAGGTTCCTTTAATGATGCATGGAGAGTTTAGAAATATCCAAAGCAGAATTTTAAGATATTAATTATAGTTTAATGTCAAACTGCTGAAGACTTTTTCCCTATGATTGATTATTGATCTTCTACCAGCGTGCACATACAGTGGGGGAAACAAGTATTTGACCCCTTGCTGATTTTGCAGGTTTGCCCACTTACAAAGAATGCAACGATCTATAATTTTAATCATATGTACATTCTAACAGTGAAAGACAGAATCCCAAAGAAAATTCCAGAAAATCACATCATATGAATTTATAAAAATTGATAACCATCTGATGAGGAAAAACAAGTATTTGACCCCCTGGACAAACAGCATGTTAATATTTTGTAGAAAAGCCATTATTGGCCAGCACAGATGTCAAACGGTTTTTATAGTTGGTGACAAGGTTTGTGCACATTTCGGCAGGGATGTTGGCCCACTCCTCCCTGCAGACAGCCTCCAAATCATTCAGGTTCCGAGGTTGTCGCCTGGCAACTCGAATTTTAAGCTCCCTCCAAAGATTTTCAATTGGATTCAGGTCTGGAGACTGGCTAGGCCACTCCAGAACCTTGATGTGCTTCTTCTTCAGCCACTCTTTTGTTGCTTTGGCGGTGTGCTTAGGGTCGTTGTCGTGCTGAAACACCCATCCTCGACCCATCTTCAGCTCTCTCACTGAGGGAAGGAGATGTTGGTCCAGAATTCCACGATACATGGCCCCGTCCATCCTCCCCTCAATACGATGGAGTTGTCCCGTCCCCTTGGCTGAAAAGCACCCCCAAAGCATGATGTTGCCACCACCATGCTTGACGGTGGGGATGGTGTTCTTTGGGTTGTACTCTCCAAACATGACGAGTTGAGTTGAGGCCAAAAAGTTGTATTTTGGTCTCATCTGACCACATCACCTTCTTCCAGGCCTCTTCTGAGTCGTCCAGGTGGTGAATGGCGAACTTCATGCGGGCCTGTACATGTTTCTTCTTGAGCAGGGGGACCTTGCGTGCGCTGCAGGATTTCAACCCATGACGGCGTAGTGTGTTACCAACCGTTTCTTTTGTAACTGTGGTCCCAGCTGCCTTCAGTTGATTCATCAGTTCCCCCCTTGTGGTTTTGGGATGATTCCTCACCGTTCGCATGATCAGGGACACCCCACGAGGCGAGATCTTGTGTGGAGGCCCAGACCGAGGGAGGTTGGCGGTGGTGTGGTGCTTCTTCCATTTCCTGATAACTGCACCGACAGTTGATCTTTTCTCTCCAAGTTGCTTTCCGATTCTCTTGTAGCCCATCCCAGCCTTGTGCAGATCAACAATCTTGTCCCTGATGTCCGTAGAAAGCTCTTTGGTCTTGCCCATGGTGGTGATGTTGGATGCTGGTTGTTTGGGTGTTGACAGGTGTCTTTTATACAGGTAACGAGGTGAGGCAGGTGTATTTGATGTAGATAATTGGTTGGGATTGGGGCTGTGTCTTAAAGAAAGACTAACTGGCTTGTAGGAGCCAGAATACTTGCTGTTTGGTAGGGGGTCATATACTTGTTTTTCCTCATCAGATGGTTATCAATTTTTATAAATTCATATGATGTGATTTTCTGGAATTTTCTTTGGGATTCTGTCTTTCACTGTTAGAATGTACATATGATTAAAATTGTAGATTGTTGCATTCTTTGTAAGTGGGCAAACCTGCAAAATCAGCAAGGGGTCAAATACTTTTTTCCCCCACTGTATTTGAGACAAACAGCTTCAAGTGCTGTCTGGAAGATTTTAGAATTAACCTCAATAAATGGTAAGATTAATCTCAGCACATGAAATCGAATCTTGAATGAAATGTATTTTTTTTTTATTCACTGTTCTGAACGCAATGACACGCTTTATTTTTCTAAGTTCACGTGTCTATATGATGTAAACTATATTGGTTGAACTTAGGGCTGGGCGATAAAACAATAATGATAATTATTGTGATATCATTTTCCTCAATAACTATATGAACTTGATTCCCGTAAATTCATTCTTTTTTATTCAATTACTCTAAGCCACAAATAAACCTAGTCTGAATAATCACTTCTCTTGTCCATGTAAAGCGGCAGATTATACAAATGTAAACACACAGCTGCATAAACTGGGGCTTAGAAACAGCGTAACACAAAGATCATTCTCTAGTTGAGTGCATTAAAATGTGACACTGAAACTACACGAGAGAAAAGCAGACCAACCTGTAGCTTGTCTTCGTGGTTTGTATGAGTAGTGGACAGGTGTCTGAACTCCTGCGTCAGTCTGAAACAGTGCCTCACATGTTCAGGAGACACAAAGTCCTCTGCCACCTTGATGCAGCTGTACAGGTTGTGCACCTGAGAGGGGAAGAGCAGAGCATACACATTATGTAATAAGATAAGAAAAATATGGATCTTAAA